GTAGGCCTCCCATGTGGTATACACTTTAGCTAAAATGTATTTCCTTGTGGTTATGCATGGTTTTTCTTTTTCGTTAAATTAAAAGGATTTCACAAGAAATGGAAGGTCATTAAAATCAGAAATAACAACCATGTATCCTGTGGAACAAGGATGTGGATATTGGCACAGTCGACCGTGCGCCAAATAGTTATGACCGTGCCGATAGATATCATTTAGCTATTGGGCATGGTCGTTCAACCGCATAAAGTTTTTGCGCAATGTCGACCGACCGTGTTTCTTTTTATATCATCACTGTCGGTTAAATAATAATCTTAGCTCAGCTGTGGTAGTGGTGTGTTAGGCCTGAGCAACTTTCGCTGTTATTTTCCTTTTTTATTACCATATATAAAGATAAGATAAACTGATTGATTGTTGATAACGGAATATAAGAAACTATATACATTTTCAATTAGGCCTACAATATAATTTCGGATGGTCAATATGGATTTATTAAAATATCGTTACAACTGCCACTTCCATTCTTCAGGCCACCCACACAACCACTAGTTCATGCCACTGTCTATGTTGTATTATAGGCCTAAAATACCATAGGTAAACAAGACATTACAAATGAACGAATAGAATTGAAATGGTCGAAAATGACACATTTATTTTATTTGTCGATACCAATAAGAAAATTAATATTTATTTATGATAATATTTTATCACACACTCACGAACCGATACAATTATCAATTGCATATTATTGTAACGTACCCGACCAAATGGATTCCTGCATTTAATACTAGTTATCAAAAGATTCAAAGGTCAAGACTATTTGATTTTTGATGGCAGCAATTATTAACAGAATTATAAGAAATTTACAATAATTTACAATTTATTATATATATAATATATAATATTTAAAGATATACTGCCAGGTAAATCTAATAAACTATAATGAAATGCTCATTTTATATATTATTTCAATATATTACCAGCATATAACTAAAAAATATTTCCAGAAAGACTTAAAGTTTTCGTGATACAAATGACAACACATATTTTAATTAGTAAATGCGATAAAACAAGGAAGATCTCGATAAATTATTGGTTTCAATAAAAAAAATAAAAAAATAAAATAAATTGAAACATAAGCGTTAGGAAGAATCACATCACAGATACTGTTATTGTCATATCCTTTATAAAAGTTCATAAATGAGGTAATATTATTGTATAATATAAGTATAGACAGAGTAGCTTAGAATTAAATCTCACAAGATTACTAGAATTGTGACTGCGAATAGATAATATATCCAAAGTCAAATACGACACCTTAAAGCGACTTAAATTAGGAGCTTAATTACAGCTTAAAACTCATAATGGAAGCAACTACTTTCCAGATTAGTGAAATTATAAATCAATTTAGAAGGTTCGATTGAAAATAAAAATTGTACCATGAAGCAAATAATAATTTCTTCTGTAGAGACTTGGTAAAAATTCTAAAAGTCGCAAGAAATACGTTTGTGAAGAACATGCGTTAAAAAAGAGAAAAGTATGACCTTTGGTTCAACAATTCTAAGTTACAGCTCAGGAAAACTCCTTTTTCTCAAAACTGGTCTAATAATTGTGGGGATCCTGTTAATGATTTGTTTGCTGAAAACAGATAACTTCTTTCATGTAATGAAGGCGTTATGTTGAAACATCGAGTTGGAACAAATTTCACTGCTTTCACTCAAAGACTTATGAATAGGAAATAAAAGACCTGCCGTAGCAACTACTTTAATATGCATGTTGGTGAAAGGTATGAAAAACAATTAACCCTGACTCTGAAAGGGTAACTTGTACTAATATTTGTAAAAATCAATTACTGTATCATTTTCCAAGTTACATTATGCGTAATTCTGTACTTATCGGTGTATCTGAATTTATTAGTAATCGCTTACAGAAAGTTCAGCAGTACGGATATGATCTCAAACCCTCTTGTGAGAACACATTACATCTTTACTAAATGCCACTCTTTCTCCTGTTAAAAAATGGTTGTTAAAATAACCATCGTAGTTTTACAGTATCTAATCCGCTAAAGTTCCTTCACGTGCAATCCTTTTGGTCAACGTTCTTTTTTCTGTTCAATTATAATGCCCACATTTTTTGTTCGACAGTTCTCATAGTTTTTTCATTCAAATTCATATATTTATGAAAATATTTTATTTTCGATTAGCCTATTGTACACTGGCGCCTAGATGCATTTAATGAATTCATTTGATGAATTGGTGCTAAATAAATTTTTTGATATTATCAGATTTTGAATCTGCATCTGATCTTTCCAACCCCATTGTACTTATATTTTGTTCGATCAAAGCAGGATTTTTGGCATTTAAAGATGTTAGCAAGATCACCACCAAAACAGCATGCATCAGAGGTGACTTTGTAAGAAGATTTGTGAATCAAAATATCACACTGCAGTGGCATTTTCTGTGTTTTCCACGGGAACTATACCGCTCGGAACGGAGACGTATTTGTTGGAATCGGTGGAACTGCAGCAGCGCATATATGTATACATGACGAAATAACAGAGGGCAGCCATAAACCAGAATGCAGCACAGATTAAGATAGAGATGTCGAAGATTCCAGTGGCATCAAACGCTTTTCCTTTAAAGAAAAAAGTAAGCATGAAACTATACCATAAAAATAAATGAATATTAATACATTATATCGTTGATAACTATCAAAAAAACGTAACATGTAATTGGTTGTTTAAAGTACTGGTGGTGGAGGCAGGGGTACCACAACGTAAGCCTACAGTCGCCTCTGGTTCGAACGGCAAGCTTGCCTCTAGTTATGGTGATATCAAGTCTTCTCGGATAAGGACTATAAACCGTAGGCACACCATAATTGGCTCATGTGCGCTTTAAAGTAACCAGTACATTTTTTTAGTATGGGTTACCTCGGTGTACTGGTACAACCTTATTGCGGACAGACGAGAGTAATTGGTACGGGTTTACCGGGTACTTCAGACACGAAGAAAAGCAAGTTACTGTACCAGCTATTCCACACATCGACCGCTCTTTGAGACTTAGGTATAAAGAGCTATATAAATCCAACTACAAGACTACAAAATGTAGTCGGTCTAAATCAAAATCGCCAAAGTTAATGAAAGCTTACCAAAGGCATAAGGAGCAAATAAGGCTGCTAACCCAATGGAGACAGTCAGGTAGCCGACAGCTTCCGAGTTTCTGACGATGCCAAATATCTCTACGGCCACCGAGTAAATCAGAGACCAATGAATTCCCATTGGAATACCAGAAACTTTGAAGTAAAAGATATACAAACAATTAATAATGATTTAGAAGAAAAACAACAACAACAACAATAATAATAATAATAATAATAATAATAATAATAATAATCATAATAATGAATGATGGTGATGAAGATAATGACGCTGATAAAGATGATTATAATAATAGTAATAGAAACAACAACAGGCGTTCAATCGCAATCCTTTCATATTAAAGTACATGTGTACTATGTTAAACATGGACGTTACACAGGTTAAAAGTAACATTAATACAGTTATAACAATAATATTAATTACCATAAAAATAACAGTAACAATAAAGAAAAGGAATATGTTTCCTATATAAATATTTTAATTGGGGTTATAAACATGAAAATCAATAAATTAATTTCAATAGCATGTTTTGTAATATACAAATCATTGATTAAGGAATAAGGCCGGGGAAAATGAAATACTGTATGACATTAAATTTCAAAACTGAAGCCAAGACACAAACATTAAAAAAACGTTGAGCACAGTATATCATGAGAAGTTTACAGATACTATTATAACATTATGTATACAATATGATATTTAGGTATTTTATAGACTGTCTCTTATACACATCTAGATGGGTATAAGAGACAGCATATATATAGGCCTATATATATATATATATGATTACTGTTATTTGAACATGCGTAATTTATGTTAAATAACATTTTTTTTTATCATTTACTATGTTAAGTATATAAAGAGCATTTAATCAACAGCATTTAGCCTTCAAAAGGAATGAAACCAACAATAAGGATGAGTAAGAAACAATAACATTAAGAAAGAAAGGTAAATTATTTACTATAGATGTTAAGTATAAAAAGTTAGAGAGAAATAATTAACAGTATTTAGCCTTCACAAAAAATGAAACCCCAATAAGGATGAGTAAGAAACAATAACAATACCAAATACTATTGATTATAATAACAACAACAACAACAACAACAACAACAATAATAATAATAATAATAATAATAATAACAACAACAACCACAACAACAACAACAACAATAATAATAATAATAATAATGTTACTGACAATGATAATGATATTAATAATAACAAAATTTCAATCACAGTCCTTCCTCATTGAGGTAAAATAGATTAAAGTGGCTTTGGTGTTTAACTTTTAAAGGAATGCCAAATTGTACGTTAGACATTAGGCTATAACTTAACACAATGTTTTAATGCTAAAATTCGCAATCACTTAATAAGGAAAATATTGATGTGAATGCTTACTGATAACATAGACTATAAACATAGCGTTTGAGTCTATGAACAATAACATGACGGTTATCCCAGTTCCCAGGAGACACGTCAGACACATGGCAACGACGCGGGGAAACGGAAGCTTGTCCCCGACAACGATGCACAGGAATCGACCAATCAGCTGACCTCCAGCCGATATTGCTACCATATGTGAGGCAAGCTTTGGTTCGATCTTTAAACTTTCGGCAAGACTAACCTATGGCGGAAAAATGTGGTTAGCAGGTATTTCACCTTAATCTACTTTCTCGTAATAAATGTTTAATAATGTTTTAACATTAAATTCCAGCTTGTACATAAAAATACCCTAAGTATAGTCCTTTATTCTAAGACATATGTAAAGCAAAATTTTGTCATAAAGGCAGAAGTACATAATGTTACTAGAAACATTGTGAATTGTAACGTTTAATCGTATAATTTTCTATTGGATAATTGTTTTGGTTTTCAAGTGCTTTTGTATTATTTTTTATGGTAAGCATAAAATCACAACTCAGATCATGCAATCTTGTAAGAATAAAATGCAATGTTCAAATACTTTAATTTTAACCATGATAACAATTCACTAAACATCATGTAGATACAAGAGCAGCCAGGGGTGACGCCAGTGAGGGGAAGCCACCCCACCCCCATTTCGTAGGGGCAGGGAACATTTAGTTGTTCCCTGGTCGGGGAGATCATTTAGGTATTTTATAGATTGTTAGACTAAAATCAAAGCACCACCACTGGAGCAGACAAACTAATTTCTGCAACAGACCAATTGGACTATCGGTGGCCATTAGGGCAAAAATACACTTAATTCACCGTAAAAACAAATCCATCTTAAAGAAAAGTACATCCGCCATTGGAGTTATAGGTAAGAAAGACACAATGTTTTACAAATTGGTTTTTATTCTGGGAATATATGGCAAGTATCTTAACCACCACGTCTAGGCCTGCCGCTCCCCTCTAATAAAATAAATGATTACTTACCAGATATATAAGGTTAAACATAGCAGCACATGTGGAAAAGATTATTGCAAAGTTGAAGAGCCAATGCTCCGGCAATTTTAGGATCCAGAGGTATTTCATGAATTTATTTCTACGCTTTTCAAGGGATTCTTCATTTTCTTTATCATCTAAGGATTGACTATTGATGGCCTCTGCTACTGGTGGCGGTGGATCGAATGGTACACAACAAAGAACACCAACCAACAAGATAACAATACTGAAAATGCGAAGTGTCATTCGCCAACCGTAATCTGTGAAACAGATGCTGAATATAGGCCCCAGTGACAGCATACCTAAAGATTTCAATAATATCACACGTTGATATAAATAAATTATGAATAGTTGTGAATAGTTTATGTTAAACAATATAAAGTTAATACAATGTTGCCGCAACGTTTGAAATGTTGTTATGGTGAAATATTACGTAATAAATAGTATTTACGGTTCTTCAAGAAATATGTTTCGAAAACCAAACTGCAACGATATTAAAAGTGTTGTCTAAACATGTTAGAGTTACAGCAATTTATTATCATTATTACTACTGTATATGATTTTACTTTATGTTGAGTTTAAATGAATCTGAAAAGTACAAACAGAATAATATGTTTTAAGTGTTTTGGAATCAAGATTGTTGAAGCACGTGAAGTTATTTAATAAGCCAGTTGTATTTTTGTGTGAGTTTGTATTTGTGTGTGTATGTATTTATGTGTCTGTGTGTATGTATATGTGTGTATGTTTGTATATATATATATATATATATATGTATATATATATGTATATGTGTATGTATTTATGTACGTTTGTGTGTATTTATGTATATTTGTGTATGTGTGTATGTTTATGTATTTGTATGTATATTGATATTTATATTACTGTTTTGCTGCTTTTGTATTGTGTTGTCGAATTATGAATGAATAAAAAACAAATATTAAAAGTGTTAGCTTGGTGCTTCTCATGGTCAATCTCAGAGAATAGGTTCAAATATTCAAAAATGCCAATATTTCTTTACAAGATTAAACTCATTCCCACTAAGACCCATATTATGAGAGATGGGGCATAGAGTGACTGGGAAGTAAAATTTCATATTTCAAAAAAGGTGTTTTTTCTCTCTTCATGTATTATTAAATATTGTATGTATGACAATAAAGGTTAATAAACTAGGCATAATTGCTTTAATTGGTTAAGTGCAGGATTTACCCATTTGTTAAATCGTTATGATTCAGGTCAACGATTTTGCGAAACTCATTGAAAAAAAAATCTGGATCCAATAATTATAATGCTATGATTGATGTTTTTGATTGTAGAAAATTGCTTGTAGAAAGATGTTTCCTACTTCATATTGTTTATGAAGGCCTAAGTGGTATAAAAACATTATTCATGCGGGCTCACCTATTGCTGTTCCTGACACAGCCAGCGAGGTCGCCCTAGAACAGTGTTTATGAGGGAAGTAGCAACTCAACAGATTCATCAACGGGTTGTAGACGAAGTTTCCGCCGATGCCAAAGATGATGCCGAACGTAAAGAACAATGTCATTATATTTGTTGCAAACGACGTGAGCATAATTCCAGCTGCACTTAGTACGACTCCAACCAGAGCAACTTTACGATGACTAGTCAACTCGTAGAGAAAGCAAGAAAGTGGCGACATTGAACACACTGTTGCCGTTGAAATAGATCCAACCCATCCTACAACAAATATAAAACAATTAGTATTTACATGAATGTTATCCTCTGTTAATTGATTTTCTATTGACATCTTACTATAATATTTATTTACAAAATAAGATTAATAGCATAACATAATTCTTGCTTGTCCAATAATCGAAGAACTGTTCCATGTAAGAATGAATTACATACCTTTCTAAACAGTAATTGTATATTATTAACTTAACATATTTGTAATTTTGGCACTAAATACATTACATTCAGGATTCCTGTTTTAATTCATTTACATGTTTTGTGGACAAATAAAAATTCCCAACATTCATTTCATTTATAAAAAAAAAAAGAAAATCAGTTCTAATATTTTGAATATCTAGTTGGAATTTTACGGTACCCTCGATTTTGTAATGGTCTCCTATTATAGGCCGACGTGTCTGCATATATAATTATAACGTACAAAGAGTAACTGTATAGTATATTTTATTTAAAGTTTTCATTTAATTAAACATGTTACGTGGTTTATAAAAACGGAGATTTTCGTAAGTATTGTATTTGAACTCAATATTATGAATTCTAGTATACTTGTGAGTATTGATCATTCAGCAATTTGGCTAAGTTCCATTTTATTGGCAGTTGAGTTAAGTCAATTTTACGATAACTTCCGTTCTGATTTATAGGTAGGTTGGTGCCCAGTAGCTAAAACTGTTTAAAATCTAAGTTAAAGTGCAGAATTTACTGAATCCCAGTTAACTGGACTTGAGGTGAAACATTCGACTAGAATGGTTGAAATTAAACTAAGTTTGGAAGTGAATGTAAGTACGATCCTTCCTATTTTTTTACAACGATTTACTAAAGATCGTTGAAATATGGGACATTGAAGAAAGAACGTAAACAAAAACGATGTCAGCTGCAGCATCATGAGAAAGTTTTATTTTGAAATAAATGAGCACCAACAACTAAAAAATTAGTTTCGATGCACTCTTTTCAAAATACGTGAAATAAGGCTCACATCAAGTGAGCGAGGTTGTAACAAACACACTTGAAGACTTTCAGCTGATTGATCAGACAGCTTGAAACACGATACTGAAAGAAGCCAAAATAATTAGTGCTGGACTAGACAGCGAGCTTTATGCAAACATGTGATCAGTGAGTAATCAAAGAATTGTTTATAAACAAAAACATTGCAAAACGTACCGTAGGCCTATAGTACTTTAACGACTAGTTACTTTTAATCTACTTTTAGTTTTTGTTTATATAAACAATTACTGAATTGGTTGAGTGCTGCCAGTGTAGCATACAATAAATGTTCAATTCATTTTAAACAATTCATCAATTTTTCAACATTTATTTCAGAACGTAGTCGAAGAGATGTGTTAAATGAAAAGACAGGTGACCGACAACAATGAGATAGTAACATCATTGTTTAAAAAAGAAAGTTAGCCCCAATGGAATTAATGTAAAGTGTAAACAAAAATGGAAATTGTACTTTGGATTATACTGTACAGTTTTGAATGTTGCTTTTTAGACTCCGGAATACAAGTGTAGAATCCCATGGCTCTAAAGATATTAGAGTATCTAAAAGACTTCGACAAGATAATACGTGTTTTCAAAGGTGTTTTTTCCCCTTTTTTCTTTTTTTTTTCTAAAAACAAAACAAAACCAAAGACTACAAGAAATATTAATTAGACATCGGAAATAACAGAAAATTAGATTAGTATTAAAAGTTGCCGCACTTCACGGGAGCAGTTCCTAAAATTATGTAATATACCAAGTGCCAATCTGCAGATTTTAATGTGTTACTAAGTTTCAGACAAGACAGACCTCTGGTAATCTGTGATATAGAGGGAATGGTATCTTTGGATTGTGGCGACAGGAAAATGTTGGAAGCCATGTAGACCTACAGAGGGCCAATAAAAAATACCAATGTTTGTAATTAAGGGTAGGCCAATGCAGGTATTACGTACACAGGTATAGAGGCCTACATCCCTACGATAATACATTGTTTGTTGCCAACGTTATCAAAAAAATGTGGCATGCCTATCTAGACTAAATATTTGCCTTTAGTTTAAAAGTTATCGGCTACACAGTCTGCACTCTAAAGACATACCAAGCTTATTCGATTGATTCAATGATAATATACATAGACCAACATCTCTATTTTAAGTAACTTTTAGATCTCACTAACGGAAGATTCTTCATCCAAGTGTTGAAGACTGATATACATCTAAATACATGGAAACATTGCGATTATCTTCCATGGTATATTATTGGAGGACTGAAAGCAATTCAAAAGTAAATACACGTAGGCCTTCACCACATTGTAGATTTGGTACCGGTAGTAGGCCTAAGCCTGTAGCCTTATCAGCACTGATGAACAAGTTACCAATTTTAGAATATTATATACAGTACGTAAACTAGTTTACAAGCCTGTCAGTGACGTAACCTTGATAATGGTCTAAATCTCCAAGTTCTCCCACATTCGACAATTTTTTTTTCATTGTACGTTGTTTTTATATTTTAAAGTGTATCCAGGGATGGCGCCAGGGGGGGGGGTGCGGGCGGAGGGGCGAAACCTCACGTCGAAGAGCTGCCCCCCCCCCCCCGTCGGCGAAAAAAACCACAATTCATCGGGAGGAAAAAAAAATTATATGTATTTTCTACATATTAGTAGACTTTAAAATCGATTAAATACCGGTAAGCCTTTGAAACCCATATGAAAGTCATGCTCTCATGAATAATTTTCATCCGAAAATTTTCGGGGCCCTCGCCCCTGGACCACTTTCGGAACCTTCTAATCGAAGCTCGACCACGCCCACTTTGCTTTCGTCGGGGAAATCTGACCACTCGTCGGGGGCATCGGCCCCGCCCCTATGTATACAGGCCTATCGGTGAGAGTAAGTCATGGATAAATACCCTGTTGGAGATGCGTGTCGCAAAATCAAAAACTGTGATCACATTAATTACATCTTATAATTAGGCCTATGCATACGAATTGTTAGTAGCAATGATGTTCTGTCATTAAGGGTGACAAGATTGATAATCAACATGATGTAGACCCAACCTTCAATTAGCACTATACTCTAATAATTAATAATTAAATGAAAGCATAACCAACCTATTGACGTGGATGTTGCATTAAATTCTTTCTGCAACGCCACCAGAATCACACTAACCGTGTGAATGACACCGATGATACACACATTGATAATGAAAACTGAGAAAGCAATAGTCCACCCACGTTTGTTTTGTATACCCATTGCTTAGAATTTCGTGTTCTCTTTCCAAACTTGGTTAAATCAATTACAGAACTACCGCATGTTCCAACCAACCAGCAGATGGTGAAAAAAAAAAAAACTAAATGCGAGTGCCTTTCCAAACAAATTGAAACGCTGCGATGTTACCAGTAGGTTTTGCACAAAAATACAAGAATACAGTATGCATAAAATCCACAGATTCAGGTGATATGGACTTCGAATGACGCTTCTAATCTTTTCCTGTCAATTTTAACTAATTGTTGAGAGGTGACGTTGAGGGCAACTGAACATTGACATGATTATTCATGAGAGCATGACTTTTATACAAAAAATCACTTTGTTTACAACAGAGGGCGGATATTAAGTCCAATCAATTAGCACGCTTAGTTCAAACAATGCCACTTAATATTTTTAAAATTTGTTTATTGACAAGGAGAGAAAAATATGGCTTAGGACAAGATCGAATGTATTTGCTATCAACACTTAAGCCAAACTAACATAAACTTTGTTTGTTGTGACATGGGATGGCTTAGGTAATATTTACAGTGTCTTACTTTTTATACTTTAGTACAAACTTACATTAATTAAAACAATAATAAACAAGCATTCTATGAGATATTAAGGATAATAAAAAAATATATACTCGGGTAACTTACAAGGAAAGTATTTCGTCCTTGTGACGCAGATTCTTTTAACATTAATTAAGCCTACAAAACTCGTGAAAAAAAAATTGTACAGGCAAATGTAAGTAAATATCTCACAGGGTCATTATTTCAGTTTGTATACGGGCGTTCAGGTGGTATCGTAGATGCCGTAGCAGCAGGCGCTCAGTAAGGGTGAAGTGAACCGATGTAACCACTGGGTTCTTTTAAAGTGCCGCTAGCTAGATGTTTACACTGTATCTCTGGGTTTACAAAATTCGCTTCCAAAATACGGTAGTCATTATAATACTTTCACACAACAGCGGTGGCGCCAGAAATTTACCGACAAAGGGTTCGACATGTCCGACGGAGGTGTCCAAACCAGGGACCGACAAAGTCGCGCCTCGGTCGACGGCCTGGAATAAAAAAAAATCCCCGGTAGTGTTCACGGGGAGACTTTTTATGGCTTAGTATGGTCCAAAATGTGCTGTTAGACAACATTGGGGAATGTCAATCAAAATAACGTTATTTTGATAGGCATATTATTATTTTTAATTTTTGATCAGCCAATCCCTAGTCATGCGACGGTGGGGAGGGGGGAGCGAAGGGGTGCTCACACAAGCCTAGTTAAATGTAGGCCTCCTTCGATCCGCATAAATTGTGTGCCAAATTTTATCTAGTTTAAGTGATGTAATGTTTTGTAATTCATGTTTTAAACGTTTAAGAGTGTTGTTTTGAATTTTTTTACTTTTTTATTGTTGTTATTTTGCTCTGGCTCGAGTACCGTATTGATAATATTTGCTTTGTATGTAAATATTAAGAGGGCCTCTTTGCGTTACTTAGTTCGCAAGGGCTACCATCGTGAAAGAAAATTTATTTCATTTAATTAATACAGCAATCGATGGTAATACATTTCTTAAGTAGGCCTAACTATTGTTGAATGTCTATAAATATTAACAAGTCACATCGCATCCTGTTTTGTGTAGTCAGACCACCACAACCAAGGTCATTGTTTATTCGTTTAGTTTTTCTACTTTTACAGTACTGTACCTTCTATAAAAATCCTGTACAATTACGTGGTTCATATTCCCGTACAGTTATACAGGTTATATAGCGCGTCATATTTCAG